GGGTCAATTGTAAGTACGTTCTGTTTTATGTCGTCATCATCCTCGTCAGCGTCGCTGTTAGCAATGTACCAAAAAATCTCATATCGTGGCTCCATGCCTAGAGAGCTCGAAGAAAAGGTCGCATAAGAGTCGCCTATTTAAAGCTCAAGGTTGCAATTCATCTAACGCAAAGGACCCAGCCTACTATAAACGCTAACGCACACCCGAGTACGAATCGTCCAATGGCCACGTCGACGTCCGCATTGAGGAACTCGGGAACTCGCGTGAGATGAGGGTTCCTACTATTTCTTTCCTCTTTATGCATGAAAAACGGGCAGGTTTGTGGTTTCCCGTGTTTCGCGGGATGTTTCGAAATCGCTTCTTTCTCTGGTATGGAACTGAAGGCAATCACATCTCCCGTCAAGAAGGAAACGGCGTACCTAAATGCGGCCATTCAATTTTCAGTGCACTAGTTGCGCCTCTGTTACGTGTTAAAGTCTCAAGCCTATGTTCTGTACCACACTTCGGCTCGCATCGACAAATGCGTAAACAAATAAGAACGCCACCTGATTACCAAGAATATCGGCCACATGCGAAAGTCAGCTTTTAGAACTTGGTGGATGCAACCTTCTTTTCTCAGCCTTATGCACGACGCTGGCGTGTGTTGCAAGAAGCCATATCCGACGTGGCCAGAACGAGTGCGTCTAGCCTGAACACGTATTAAACCACTCCTATTGGGCGCTCGTTGCACTATGAACCAGACATTGGGCACTAGTGCATTCTTATCCACGTAATTTAGCTAGTCCCATGATCTCTAGCCAAAGCGCTGCACCGAGGCTGTGCTAGCAGAGCTGAGAGGTTACGGTGCTGCCGCGCTCCTATACTTGATATACTCCGCCACGGGTATGTGATCTGCTCTCAACAGTAAAGCTAAAGTCTACTGATGCCGTGCTAGTCCACACTGCCTGTAGCTTTACTTCAACTTCCACTCTGAGTCTAAATCCACCGGATCTCGTGCATTATGAGGTATCATCACGACGCTCAACGGCTTCAGCGATGAGAATTTTGAAACATTCGCTACCATTTACGAAGTGCCTTGGATGACAACAACTGGGTGTTGTGCCGCTTCACAAGCTTTATTAGAGATCGCTTCCATCAAATACTTCACTCTCCTAATCTCAAGCAAACGGTGATTTTATCGCCTAGAGCTTTCCACAAATTTGACAATCATGTTAGCATGTTGGTCAAGTGACCAGCTCAATTATTCAGACTTCACACTGGCTCTACCTGTCCCAGGCCTCAGAGAAAATTGTTATTCAGTCCGACAAACGCTCGGTAGAGCATCTGGACTATGCCGTTCACATCATGAATGAGACAATTGCCACAACGTTAGACAAGATCCTGCCCACCTTTCACCTATACAACCTGAGCGCATGGCACTGGTCTCGATATGAACAAAGTCGTGAGACAGATGATCTAGATCGGGCCATGAAGGCAAACACTGCTGCTATAGAAACAGTACCTTTGGATAATGACCTTCGACTGACCGTTCTACATAATCTTATGAGATTGCTATCTGAATGACATAGCCGCAGTCGTACAGTAGAGGAAGGGATCTGGATCGCGTAGTCGCAGCGGCTGACAGAGCGGGTTGCACATATATTCATGATTGAAGCGACTGGCTGAGCAACCTTGGTATCTATCTTGGTTGGCGATATCAACGAAATTATGCAATTAAAGATCTCGACCGTATGATTGAGGATATTCAAATGTAGCTCTAATATGACGACGCCACTGAGCGTACACTGGATATACTGGCGAGGTGTTGGAACGGCGTCAGGTTTACGCTGGCGACGCGCGCCGCACGAACATCTTCAAGGACTGACCTTGATCGTGCAATCGATGTCGGAAGCATGGCTGCGCAGTGGTGGCAGATCTAACCAAGCAACTAGTGGAATGTGGTAGTCTTGAGAATAAATGTTTCCAGCGACAAGAGTGGACGGGATGAGAAAGCCCTGATTTTCGCCTGCCAAAACGGCAAGAAGCCGTGAGTCATTCCATCCAAGCACAGGTATCGAGCGAACGCTCCGAACAATCTCAGTCTTTGTCTTAGCGGTCGTTTCCCGCAAACGGGAAATATGGACGTCCTCGACCGGCCGTCGAGATTCAGTGAACTGTCCTGGAGGCTGGTCAACATCACGTCTATAGAGATTTGATTCCAACACTTTGGGGAAGCGTCATGTAGTACGATTCCACTGGGCTCGTGCCTTGAAGGGACTAGAAAATCCAAAAAGCTCTGGATGCTCCTACCAGGCCCGGGCGGCCACGATCGAGCCATGATGCAAAGCAACCTGGCGAATTTCCTTGGCATTCGAGTCGACTGAACAAGACAGCTTATAGATCTCGGCGGTTCTTTCGAGCTCTTGTCCAATGCGGTGAATGACACATGTGCGAATGCTGTCGACAGAGCGTCATGGTTGATGAACCTCGGCGCATGGCTTGGTCGACGCTTCGAAGAAACTGGTAAAAGCCATTGACGTGGCGGAAATCGCGATACAGCCCGAGACTCCAGTATACCTGATGCAGCAATGCAGTAACCCGAACAGTATGGAAATATGGCTCTACTGACGGTTCGAAGAACAAAAGAGAATCGAGGATCTCAATCGGGCGATCGACGTGGCACTCATGGCTGCTGGAGGCATCTATTGATCATTTGGACCGGCCTTCTTGGTTGATCAATCTGGGTATCTGGCTCCAAGAATGGTTCGAAATCACCAAGGGCCCAAAAGATCTCGACAAATCCATCACATCTTTCAACCCGGGTTGGTAATCCAAGATCGCTACCACATCGGTCCGTAATCGTTGCGCGCAGAGAGCAGCAGGGCTCCTGGCTTTACAATCTGCCTGGGATGAAGCAAACCACCTACTTCGCGAAGCGCATGTCTTATTTCAACTGTAAGCCCTCGCTGAATACGACACACCGACAAAGAAGACGCCTTGGGGACCTTCGCTCCAGCTTCCACTACAGCAGCTGTGGCTTTTAAGGCGGAAATGGAGGCTTACGAGACGCCTGAGCTGCTCGCAGGCGAACTGTAATTGCGAATCTCTTACTTGATATGAGGTCCGATGTGTGTTCCCGACCTCACGAATGACTTTGTGTTGCTTCGAAACATGCCAAACGTTTAAATTCGGGCAAGGCAGCGCCGGGATGCAGAAGAGCGATTTCCTTCCTCACCAAATGAGTCTGAATTGATGACCGCGGTCGACCTAGATCCTATCGTTGTCGTTAGCTCGTACGCTTGCAACGCGTTCTTGATTCAGCATAATAAGATCCGAGAGTTAGATCTGCCTGCTTTGTCGGCCTCAGTAGTTGGGAAATGGACACTCAGGTTGGGAATGATGGACTCGTCTGAAGACTATTCCTATTCAGTCATGCTGGAATGGCTCTGGGATGCGCTCATCGCTCCGTGTCTTGATAGACTTAGACATACCAAATCTCTGACTTCGGACAGTAGTTGGCCTCGTGTCTGGTGGATTGGGACTGGTGCACTGGGTGAGTTGCTGCTCCAAGCAGCAGGACGGCATAGAACGGGAACAGGGAATGAGGCCGTAGTCGACAGAGTGATGTCTTCCTACGCGCTATTAGTCAAGGCTCTCAGCGATAGTCACCAGAAGCGGCAGCGCTTAAACACGCTCGCTCCAACGTTGCTCTTCTGCTTGCAATGGCGGAGACGACTGGCCTAGGAAGTCACCTTCACTACGCCGAAGCCGAAGTGGAGATGGTGAGCTCGCTCTGCTCGGCGATGAATCTAGATTCTGTCAAGCTTATTACACGACACAAAGCCTCAGTGTTGCAAAGCCTCCCATGGTGTAGCCCTTCCCATTTCACAGGTCGCGGCCGATCTCATGCCTCGGAGCCCTCAAAGGGTTGTCTACTCCGGATGACTGGGCCTGCACCCCTCACCGTGAACAAATTGCGAGAGCATAGGTTGTGTGACAACCCCCCATTTCTAGGCTATCTCTCAGCCTGCTCAACAGGCGCCGATGAGTCGGTTCAGCTCGCAGATGAGGGCATCCACCTCATTGGCGCTCTACAGCTCGCAGGGTTTCCGCCACGTCATCGACACGCTCTGAGAGGTGTGGGATCGACATTGTGTTGATGTCGCTCGAGTGCTAGACGAGAGGGGACGAATGATAGAGCGGTCTGTATGGCTCTATACTGCGCTGTGAAGGAATTGCGGGCGAGAGGCGCGGAGAGGGAAAATGAACGACATGTCAAAAGTAATGGCAAATGGGGGCGCACGCTAGAGGAGGACGGTGAACGTGACCGGGTACTCTTGGGTCCCGTCTGTCTACTTTGGGGCCCTGTCGGATGAGCAGCGCTTGCCAAATTTCTCCACTGCAGGATCCTCACCCCCGCGACAGCGACCGGTGAGAGTTTCAAACAAGTCGGTAATTAAGAAGTCCAGACCACGCAAGGACTACCAGTAGGGACCCGAGTACTATGGCATTAGGGGTACATGCCACATGTAACAAAATGACATAAGCTTGTATCAGTCTATTGTTACATACAAATCTTAGTACTTTGTGTCTACCCTCAGCCTCAATCACTGCCTGGCATCGAGCTCAAGTTCATGCAAGATAGCGCGCTAGAGCGCTTAGCAGGCTATACTATTGAGGAGCTCAACTTATGCAACATCTATCTGATCCTCTAGCCAGTATACTCGCCAGATCTTAACCCTATTGAAGCAGTCCGGAACAAGATGAAGGACTATATAGAGAACTACTACCTATATCTACCTGCTAGGAGACAGCGTACATACGATCAGCTGCGTGAGATAGTCCAGGAGGCGTGGGATGGCATTGGTGATCAGGTGTTGACCTGATAGACAGCATGTCAGCTTAATCCTCTTACAGTAGCTCTCCTTGATAGATTTCTACTGCTTCTCCTAGAAAAGTAGCCCTAAAACATCTACCCACACCTCTTCCTTACTTTATCCACGAGGCAGGTATTACCCAGCTGCTTGCCAGCCTTCCTTGTTACCCTACAACCTCTGGTGCCTGCCACCTGTTACCCAGGTCTCGTCACTCCAGAGTATCCTCCACCACTGCTTAGATGTCCAGTTGACGTGAGAGAGAGCCGAGGCAAGGCGTATCTACTTGTTCCGCTTAGAAAGGGGTGGTTTGCCACAAGCTATACGCCGTAAATACCCTCTGCTTTAAAGAGCTCCTCTTATAATGTACTCTTATACTCCCTAGTGGGCAAAAGGCCCTCTGCAAGGCCATAGGAGGCTTATCTGCCGCGAAGCTCTTGACTGCTGGAACTGCTCACTGCTGAGCGTTGACGTGCGACCTTTTCGATTCGTTGGTGTGACGCGTTCGCTGCGGATAGAGTAGGAAACCTGTCTCTGTTATGCCTACAAGGTTGGCGATAAACGCGTACTTGTGGCCAGCAAGACGGAGAGTCTGTAACTGCAAGCGCTCATCGCGTGAAAGGGTATCGGTGGCGAGGCGGCGTTGCAGGATGAGGTGATTGAGGTGTTGATATATGAGGTGGGTGAGGCGCTGATAGATGAGGTGGGTGAGGCGTTGATGGGCAGTCCATCGTAGAGGCGACGCGTATAGCAGAAGAGGACACAGGTGCACAAAGATTCTATACAGAACAATGGGGGTTTAGTTGTATTTTTGCCAGTAGAGAGTTCGCGCGCACCCCTGTTCTGACCCCTGTACTTCGGCACCTACCTACGCCTAATTCCATAATACGTAGCGAAGACCCTTTCTTCGGGAAGTGCGAGAACGGGAGAGCCAACATGCAACACGGGACGGGCAGCAACAATGCAACAGCTTGTTGCTTTGCGCGGGAACGTACTCAACTTCAAATATTTCCCTACATCAATCACAATGTCCAGATTTTCTCGCACGAGATGTTTCTGTATCAAGCCTTTGGGCCCCCAGTCTGTAATTTGCATGAGACAGCGCTTCTGTGCCTCCTTCGACGCGGAGTGAAGAGTTCCATCGCATTTGGCGCTTCGAGACCGCCCGAGCGGAGGGCAGCAATACGGCACATTGCCAATGCGGGTTCTGCAGGGCGGGCTTTGCTTACCGTTCGTGTAAGCTGCGTAAGATTGTGTGTCACGTCCGCCATTCAGAGGGCGCATCGAAGTCCCAAGCAATACCAAGCGGTACCAGGAGTGCTTTCCTGACGTCCTTCCTGACGTCCAGTCTCGTCTGCAACGCAAGGCGTTTTTTTCGAAGGATAGAGTCGACTAGCGGCATGGACAGGCGTACAATTTTCCGTCTTCTTCTTCCTGGTCAAATGACGGGCAATCTTCGTATTGTTGGACTTGGCGCACGCGGCGACTTTTGGAAATCTGGCGATGCGGAGTGTGGCGAATGCGGGCGATATCTTATCTCAGCGTCCACACGCACCCTAGCTCGTCAGTGCACGCCTATATCGGGCGACCAAGCGCAGCCGTATCTCTGGGTTGAAGCTTGTCGGGATCTGATGCCATTGGCCATGTAGCAGGGTCGTCAGTTTAAGAAATGGCTCTGGTGTCGCTTGCAATCCTACAGCAGGGTATCGATCCAACGTGGACGATCTTCATGGCTGTCATAGGCTAGCCCGCCGCAGAATTTCCTATGTACCTATACATGGCTAATTGGCTTTACGCAGCTAGACATGTCGCTATACTTGCACCCTGACAGCGGTGGCCCAGGGTGCACCCTTTTTGGGCTTTTGGAGATGGAAAGGCTGATCAAAGTCGATCACGCACTGCACAGACGGACATGGAAAAGTTACCACTGATGCCATTCTTTAATTTGCGGGAGTTCCGCTTCGTCATCCGTTCTGCTGTACCTATGTCAGCGATCGCCCGGCTGTGGGCTCCCTTTGGCAGCCCAGGGTGGCCCCGATCAACCACTCACAGCACGCCTAAACAGCATCCCAGACACCGCCCAGGACAAAAATAGGGGGGGCGCTGCGGTGCGGCGACGGCGGCGCGGCGGGACCGCAGCGGCCAGGCTGAATCTCACCAAGCCGCCGTTTCAAGAAATTAGGAGAACGCCCCGGTCGTGCAGGCGCGCATCCATCCATGCTTGGAATCGTTCGGTGGCCCCTTTACGACGCCTCAAGAAGAAGAGACTTTCAGCGCTCTTACTCCCGAGCCTTCTCTTTCGTTCCTTTTGTTTTCACATCAAAGAGCGTACGAGTTGGCGTTTCGAATATCGCAACTGTCACATTCCGCGCTACGACCCCTTGACGCATTTCTCATTCCGTCGCCGTATGAGTCCCAACATTTAGATAATTCGCGTGCACATCGTTTTCGTCTCACGCCACTCGCGATTTCAACTTCTCACTCCGTCGTCACACAGCTCTGTCTTTCATATTCGCGACGCATTCAGTCAAGATGCCGCTCCTCTCCACACAGCGTATACTCTTCCTCTGCATACCCGCCGCTCTGCTCCTTCTTTTCGTCGTTTCTGCTCTCCGCGGAGGTTCCGTCACAGCACCCATCCAGACTCTGAAGGATGCCGGCCACAAGATCAACGATAACATATGTACGAACGACCATCCTGACATCCGGAAACCAACCTTTGCCGACACCATAGCCGCTCTTTATCAGCCTATTTTGCTTCCCGTGACTGCGAAATCGTACACGGACCAGACAGGAAGGGAATTCGACAATGGGGGCAACGAGTACTGGCAACGGCGTCTGGGGAGCGATATCCTGATCGTTGACATCGACACGCGGAATCCGAATGGCACGAACGAGATTTTTAATCCTGAAAGAATGAACTGGCGGGAGCTGGAGACACAGGGTGGAGGTCTGCTAACCGCATCTTTTATCAACCATTTCCTTTACTGTAAGTCTCCTACGTATCCCCTCCCTACCCTTCCCTAACACTTCCAAGCTCAAATCCATGGCTATGACTATAAATACTTCAACGCACGCCACATCGAAGGCCACTACGATACCTGGATTAAGCCGCATGTGATCTATGAGATGCTTCACCAGTACAAATTTGTCGTCTTTATAGACGCGGATGCCGTGATCCAGCATCTCGAGGTTCCCATGGAGTTTCTATTTAACCGCTGGAACATCACACCCAATACGTCTATTGGTATGCCTGTCGATACCCGCCAGAAACTTGGAGATGACGAGAACGCGAGCATGGATTCCAAAGGCAAGGTCACGGTTAACAGCGGTGTGGTCGTTGCACAGAGCCTACCGTACACGTTCGAAATGATGAACGCGTGGCGAACGTGCACGAATGAGCTTAGGTATCCGGGTTGTGGGCACTGGAAGGAAAACTGGAGTCACGAACAGCGCGCGTTCAGCGAGTACATCCGGTATGACTTCAACCCGGATAACAACATTGTCGTAAGTCCCGTCTCCGCTCTCCAACAAAATAATTATGAAACTGCTTTGCTAACATGGATCCAAGGAATTCAACTGCGACGATGCAAACGGCTACCCAAGCCTCAAAAGTGACCACCCTTGGATCATCGACGACTGCCAAGGCCAATTCATCCGCCACCACACCATCGACAAGGACCTCGTGAAGGGCAGCACCAGCGACGTCATTATGCAATCGCTAACCGAGATTCTGCAAAAGTCATTTCAGAGGAACCGCGAGGATTTGTTCATTGAGGAGGCCGCGCAATGACGTTCACAGTCTGGAAGTGTTTGAGAGAAAAACGGCAATTTTCCATCCTTCATTTTCAGCATCATCGGCGTTACGACCTCGAAGGGTCGACGCCTTCGGAGAAAAAGGAGTTCGAAATTAGGAGCGTCGCAGCGGGACAAACCGTGATGTAGGAAAAGTTTTTGAGGCGCCCTGGAAGGACACGCGTCACCGTAGCGCAACACAGCATTCCGCCCTATGTCACATTACACCGCATCAGAGCCTCTTCAGGCATTCGATAGACGCGTTCAGGGTATCACAAGGCGATTGTACGATATTTTATCTTGAGAGGGTCACAGGCGCACAACGTAGTACGACGGCGGACTTTATGCATAGCACAGGCGTATATCATAGTGGTGCATTCGCAAAGCGGATCCATTTTTCTTGGGTTATTCTTGGGTAATACCGGATTGGGGATATCATAAAGCATATTCATTGGAGCCACACAGCGATAGATATCCAAATTATTAGAGGCTGGATGGGCCCGTTTCAGCAACCACGCTTCATCCGCAATTTGTAGAATGGTGAAGGTACTTTCTTAGCACAAGTCGTCAGCACTACACACCCCGCTACCGTATCTCCCGCTTTTGCTCCCTGGGCACATAATGTGACGTACTCGACCCCTCTGGGTGTACGTATGTGCTCCGGCGCGTTAGACAACGCTAAGAAAAACTAGCACCGTCCCCAAGCTCGCGCCGTCCCCCCAGCGTACGCGTGGCCTGCATTCCACACTTCATGAGCACTGCAAGACATCGCGTATCGTAGATAATCTGCGTCTGCTTTTGATTACTCTCGGTCGTTTGTGGTATGGTGTGTTTTGCTAGGCCGGGCTGTATTTGCGGCAATGGAAGGCTTGGCGGGGACGAAGCTTGCATCTGGATCGGTGCTTGTTGGTGTAGTTTCCTCAGTGGTAAATATTTCTTTTAGGACTCGAGCTTCTAGCCGTTACTCTTCTTGTTAGTTGTGGTTGCGTTTGTGGAAGGGTTTTTCAGTTTGGTTGTCATCGAATTCCTTTCCTTGTACAAGAGCGGAGTCGTCGTTGTAGAGAGGGTGTAATGCAAGTCCTCTTCATAGTTGTCACACTTGCCTCTCTCAAATACTCCGTTCTTGGGCTAAGTGCATCAGGTCACGTCTTCTAGTTCAACATATTCATTCTAACGGTCGAGGTCCAACCCGCCTAACCACGGTTCAAGCAAAACCCCTCATCCCTCAATGGGAACAAAATGAGGATATCTCGACCCAACAACTTCGAACTTCTCCAACGTCTTCGAAATCTCCCCCATCTCCGTGTCTGTAATCTCGAACTCTTTGCTATTCTCTTCCACGCGCGCACTCGTCGTCGCCCCCGGAATCGGGATAATAGTCGGCATTCCAGCTCCCTTAGACAGGGCGATGGTCCAGTTTATCGCCAGCTGGGCGGACGTCGCACCCTTTGTTTTAGCAAAAGCCTCGATCTGCTTGACGAGTTCCAGATTGATGGGAAATGCGTCAGGCTGGAAGCGCGGGAATAGTCGCAGAAGACTACCCTCAGGGATATCCTCTACGGACTGGAATTGGCCCGTGAGCATCCCGCGGCAGACGGGCGAGTAGGCCACGAGCGGGATGTTGTGCTCGGCGCATGCAGCCGCTACGCCGTTCTCCAGCACATCGGTTGAGAACCTGCAAGTTCAGCTTTCGTCTACTGACGTATAGACTCGTACCTACAGCGACAACTCGACTTCCACCGCCGCGATCTTGGTGATCTTCGCCGCCTCGTGGATCGTCGACGCCTTGACCTCCGACAGCCCAATCCCTCCAATCTTGCCCGTCTGTACGTACTCCTTGTCAAGAACACCAAATGTCACTTCCATCGGCGTATTAGCATCTCGACGTGCACACTCGAAGATGTCGATCTTCTTGCGCCCTTTTAGGAGCCTGATGCAGTTGTCGACCGACGCGCGAATCCCATCCGGCGAGCCGTCCGGATGGT